TTGTCCGTAGGCAAAACATCTCATAAACCGTTAGCTGGATTTTAATCAAACTCAAAGGAATTATTTGGATGGACATCAAGAACAGAGTCACACTTGGGGACAACCCAGTGAAAGATGGCCACCACAACTAATCAGGAAAAAGCAGCCGATCCATTTCCATCGGGGGGTTTGGGCTGGGTGGGGTAATTGTCTTTACATTTGCGTTATGCGTGCATTGTCCGTGCTGTGTCTGCCACTTTGTTTTCAGCCCTGCTCCCTTGCGGTCAGCTTGATGCTGAGCTGACCCAAGACACCCACTACAGACTGATTGGTGAGATTCTCTGGTTAGCAGGTAGAATCAGTCAACGACAATCGTTCATCAATCGGGATGCAGTGGGGTAAACATGTTCTCTGGAGCTGCAGCGTGAGGACTGCTGTTAGCACTCTTGGGTGGGAGTTGGAGGCCACGGTGGCACTGCTGCACAGTGAGAAAAGTAGGAAGCTGTGTGCTTCATGTCAGAGTCTCCAAAAGCAACACTGCTCACACCCGCTTTTGTTTACTAAAATGTAACCATTGACCGTAACAATAAGTACGTGTTGTTGCTCTGATTGGTCTTAGCTGTCCAGTTGCGTAGGGAGAGGGTTTGGAAGATGAACGTAGATTTCACCCCAGGACTGAGCTCTGTCATGGCCAGACTATATATTTACATACAGGATGGCCATGCCAGGCTATAAAACCCCATCATTTCTCAACATATCGGTTTACAACCCAGGCACGAAAGATGGTGGATGATATGGTCTCTCTATGCACAATTATCCCTCTCAGAACCAAGAGAAAAGACTTAAATGTTGACATGTAGGCCGGTTGTGTTGTGCTTCCTTAAAGATGTGGTTCACTTATTTAATCAAGACATTTGCAGTGGTCACACCCACACCCATTATTGTACTTGATACTACGAAGGAAACACCTCCTCTGACTGAAAGCGTCTCTGTATGAGAGCGCGCACGCACGCGCGCGCACACACACACACACACACACACACACACACACACACACACACACACACACACACACACACACACACACACACAAGAGACAGCGCTGCCAGGCATGAGCTTCCCCTGGGCAGGACTTGGAATTTTATTTCCTGATATATTGACATCTCACCTCGGATTGTATAACAGCAGTCAGTCTCTACAACTGATTACATTCTCCACAAATACCACAAGCCTGGAGGGGTTTGGCTGTGTGGTGGAGTTGCCAATGCTAACAGTTAGCTTCTACTAGCCGAGGCGTTCTTTGCGGTTTCCTGGACGCTAAACCAATAACAGCCTTCCTCATTGTGATCCAACATGGTTGAGTCCATGAATGTTAAGTGACGGTGTGATGTTGATCTGTCAGGCTTTTCCAATCTTTTCTATCAGACGCTAATGCAAGAGATAGGTGTATGAGACTATTTTCATGTTCAGCCTGCAGGAAAATGTTAGAGTGACCGATTTTAATCAGAGATAATCAGTCAAAAATGTTTTTTCAGCGATCCACACTTTTAATAAGAGCAGTAACCAATCAGTAAGAAGCCAAAAAGTCAACATCCTGCTGCATAAACGTGCACATCAGTGTGCTCCCCTCAGTGGAATCCCAAAACAACAGTTTGAAGTCAAATTAACTAGCAAAGAATGGAGTTTCAACATTTCCACAGATGTTAGCTTCATGTGACGCCGCAGCTCAAGTTAAATCATCTTCAGCTGTTGGCCTGATCCAGCAGAGTAACACCAAAAGCAGACTGATGGTTGAATGAGGTATTGTTAGTGTGATGTGTGTAAGAAGCCGCTTTAACAAGCTTGTCACAATTTTTGCAGACACTTCCTTACACGAGGGAGAAAGAAACGTTTCTTTCAAAGTGGCTTTTCTTTGGTTCTTTGAGTAAATTCTTCAGAACAGCAGCTTGGAAAAGACTGTCTGGAGGCCAGCCATTTATCATCTTGCTCGCCTTCTCATGGCTAAGTTAAAGTATTAACAGCGCTGTGGATTCAAATGACATCATCGTTAATTTATTCTGTTCAGTGGTAAAAAGCAGCTATTCAACCAGGTTTATGGCCCTATGTGGGTTGAAACTATAGAAAGGAGAGAAAAGTGCAAAGTGAAGGCCTGATTTAACTAAAATCATTGTTAGTTGGAACTTGACAATGCATGTAACCCAACTCCTCTGCAGTTCCCCTATTTTAGAAACAGGAAATGGATAGGTGAGGCTACAAACAAAAGAAAACAGCAGCATTATCAGAGAAGGCCTTTCCAAAGCACACGGTTTAGTGAGTTCCATAATTATAATGTGTTTTCTGTGCAGCTGAGGGGTATCTATCAGCCACGGTGTGAAAGAAGACATCAGGACAGAGAGTGGAGTCATGACAATAGCAGGTTTGAAGGAACACCAGCAGGGTGAAGAAAGACCTCTCTCCACTCCAGATGACACAACCCAAGAAATCCCAGGGACAATGGACACAAGCCAACTGAAGGCTTGCATTGTCTCCAGCCTGCTCACATACAGACAATATGCAGCATTCTTGCACTCCTGTTTTGTATTCTACCCTGTTTCCACTTGCACCAGAAGCCCACAGCTCCATCTATTTCAGTAATGCTAGGTGGCTGGATGTTGGTTAGCGTAGGCAAAGATATCCCAACAATTTCCACCCAGGCAACTCAGCTAAAAGTCCATTTAGCTTTTGAAATGGATTTTAATCAAATTCTCAGAAAACTTTTTCCAAAAAGAAAAGCATCATAGCGCATTATCGTGGCTACTAGTCTTCTTTTTGGACAAATAATTTCAGAATGATAAGTATTGGCTTACACAAAGTTTGCTGCTTTAGTGTCAGAGAATCCAGAGCAGTTTAAAAGTTTTAAAGGTTTTTACTGACAGCCTAGCCAAAAAAGTAATATTTGTTTGCTGTTAATCAACCTCTGGTCCAAATCCTGTCTGGTGACAGTCCATTTATGTATAATCAATCAGAATTTGTGGGTTTTTGTTTGTCTACCTGGTGGTGGTCCGAGGGACCGATGGCACCAGTGTTCGGCAGTCTCTATTCCATCAGTGCGCCCCAGAGCAGCAGTGGGTAAAGCGTAGCTCATCATCACCATGATGAATGGGTGAATGACTGATTGTGTTGTGAGGTGCCTGGGGTGGGGGGGTGGGGGTGGGGGGTGGTAGAACCCTAACCCCAAAATTCCACTATCTCCGCTCCGCCCCCGCCCCCGCCCTCCGCTGCCACTCGCTTCCGAACTCAAATTATACTGGTACCCGCTCTACAACGGCTCTGCTCCGGTGCGGAGACCTGAGGTGCGCAAACAAGCATGCGCGGGATTTTCGAGATCTTGCGATACAGTCTGAGCAATAAACGGAAGTTAGATCCAAACACCCGTTGTGTGGGAGAAGCATCGAATTAAACTGTTTAATCTGCCCATCATTTGTGTTGAGAGATCAGCAGTGTTTGGATCAACAAAGGCTGACTACTTTGATAGTAGAAACTGTATTTATAGCTTATTTTTGTGCATTTAAAGTTCAGCCGCCATTGATAGTTGTTAAAAGTTGTTAAACCTGTGCATATGAAACAAAAACACTTTTTGTTTATCGATTTATTGTGAAATAACGAAAGTTGTGCTTAATCCCTTTCCTGTTGGGCAGTTGTGGTTTCTGTCCATTGATTGCGGAGGTGCTCCGGCGTCCGGCAAAAATAGAATCAATCCTATTTTTGCCGGATGGTGGAACGGCGGGCGGCGCACTGCGCCGCACGGCCGCAGTAGTGGAACAGCTCTGATTGACTACAATGGGACCGTTTTTGCTGCGGAGTTCGTGCCGCAGCGGAGCAGGGATAGTGGAATTTTGGGGTAAGAAGGTGCTATACAAATGCAGGCCATTTGCCAAGGCAGGAATCCAAAATGTCGGTGTCTTGTGCTACAAGTCATAGTTAATCAAACTGCTGTTGGACAGTTGGAAGAGTTCCTCTGGGAAGATGTTTAGGTACCATTCTTTATTTTCCTCTGAGGCTAAACTGTGAGTGAATCCACTTCCTAGATAGAGAATCAATCCCACAGATAAAAGGTCTCATGACATCTAATTTGGCAGAAAAAATAAATGTTCCCTCCATTCTTCAGCAGTCCAATCCCTAGACCGTCAGTAATTATGAGTCTGTCCCTAATGAATTATTTGAGTTAAAAGCTTACTATGCAACTTTTTTCAGATTTGTAACTCATTTTCTTGAGCCAGAATGTGCTAAAGCTAACCTGCATGGTGGCACAGTTGTTAGCACGGTTGCCTTGCAGCAATAAGGTTGCAGGTTTGAAACTCGGCTGCTGCCTTTCTGCGTGGAGTTGCGTGTTCTCCCCGTGCATGCATGGGTTTCCTCCGGGTACTCCGGTTTCCCCAACAGATCGCAACATGCCCTATAGGTTAATAATTGACCATTGCTTTGGATAAAAGCGTCTGCCAAATAAATAAGCATAAACATAAAACGAGACTTTACAGAGTTAATGAAATGTAAATCAAACTCCCACCACCCTCTGTGGCCAGAATATCGCACTTGCAACTTCAGAGTGCCAGTTCGCTTGCTGCCTGACATGCCTGGCGTTGGAGCCTGCTTTCAGAACGTTTCCAGTATGTTTCAGATTGTGGACACAGCTGATTTGTTTAATTTAGTGATGAATCACTCCTGTAGACACTAATGAAGGCTGAGGAGACATTTCAGCCGTTAGATTAAGGTGTTAAAAGACAAACGCACAGCGAGTAGATAAGTTTCACTTTTGCTTTCTCTAACAGACAATATGGGTGTGCTGTTTAATATTTATAAATTAACTTGTCTTGTTTCTTTTTCTTAAATATAATAAGACGCGAAGAGTTGAGTGTGTGAAATTGACCCATTTAAAATAAATTCTCTAAAACGCTAAATATTACAAAAAAATCCACCAGAATGTGCAGCCTTGGCAACATCTGTAATCCCGATTTATTATAAAGACACAGATGAAGTCGTACCTTCCAGTGCCACCGCTCGCTGCTTGTTTGCACCAACACACACACTCACACACAGCTGCCGTTCTGGGACTGCAGCAAAGAAACCTGTTCCACTGCTCCGTCTCTCTTTACTTCCACCCCAGAGGCTCTGTTGCAATGCGCGGCCCCAGAGCCAAACCCTGATCCAGCAGCCAGCTCAGCACAGATGCTCTGGCAAAGCTCGAGTGGAGGACCAGCACGTCCAGTGCTGTGTTGCGATAGCGCAATCACAGTCACTACATTTGCCAAGAACAGCTAACTGACTGGAATTTGTTTTGGTGTTACAAATGAAGAGGCGTAAAAAGAATGTAAACACACAGATCCTGATCAGAAAACACAACTGTGTTCATCCAACTCTGTTACCGTTAGCGTCTACTGCCTTTGTGCTGCAGAAGCTTTATTACATCAAAAGTATGTTCAGATTAACGCTGAGGCTTAGACCAGGAGGCAATGGAAGGAGAGGAGGATTTATCATATTATAGCCCTCTTTTTTCCTTTTCATTACATGTTGCAGCCGAGCTCTGAGAGAAATGAATAGGTGGAGTCTCATATTCACTTTTGTCAAAATGGTGGACAGTACGTGTGGAAAAAACCACGGTGAAATGGCCTTTTGGAGTTTAAGGATTCAATTTTACTTTGTGGGTTGGCAGATGTCAAGACTTCAGCGCTTGTCGATGTCTGGAGAAAATGCAATTTCTGAATGTGCTGAACTGGAATTGGATTTCAACCAGTTTTCAGAATTCAAAATCCTCAAAGATGTTCAAAAAAGGCAATTTGTTTCAGAGAGATAAGCAGTCGCCACCGTATGACATCCATCTCTCCTACCGTCACAGCAAACTTTACACCTGCTTTTTTAAGTGAACAGGGACATTAGTACATTCAGTGAATGAAACAGCCTTTACAGGGCCAAATGTTTTAATAGTGGAACAAGAATCAAGTATCTTGGATCTGCTCCAGAGTGCTTATGTTTATGTGCTTAGCAGACGCTTTTACCCAAAGCGACTTACAATTTTATTATTTTTTTTATTTTTATTTTTATTTTTTTTTAACCTATAGGGCGTGTTGTGATCTGTGGAGGAAACCGGAGTACCCGGAGAAAACCCACGCATGCATGGGGAGAACACGCAACTCCACGCAGAAAGGCGAGTTTTGAACCTGCGACCTTCGTGCTGCGAGGCAACAGTGCTAACCACTGCGCCACCATGCAGTGCTTTAAACAGGATCATCAAGAACTTCAAGGAGAGGAGTCTAGTTGTATTGAAGAATGCTTCAAGGTGCCCAAGAAACACAAAGACTGACCTAAATCTGGTCCAGCTGTGTGACTTTATAGTGAGGTGACTTCTGCAGAATGATCTGGTGTCAAGAAGGGCTGCGAAAAAGTCACTTCTCTCCAAGTTAACACCTGTTTGATATTCTGCTAAAGGTCCAGGGATTGAACTTCTGAGGACAGGAACGAGTTATATTCTGATGAATCAATCTTTCGATTGTCTTGAGTATCTAGACAAAGGAATGTCTGAAGATAAAAAGATGGATGTTTCCATCATTCTTGTGTCCTGCAAACATTAAAGCATCCTACGGTCAGCCATGTGTGTAAGGAGCGGGGTTGTTGCTTCTTAGCCAGTGGACTGGACTCACAGCTTAGCCTCCTAAACATGAATAAAGTATGGTGCCTAAACAGCCTCCCTGAGGAACTCCTGATGAACAACGTCCTTTCCTGTCAGAACTAAGTGGATGGGGCAAATCTAAACTCCTCAGTCCTTAATCCCATCCAGAGCTTGTACCAGAGATGTGGACAAACAAAAGCCAATACATTCTGACAAACTCCAAGCATCAACTTAGCGGTATTTGTCTGCCATCAGTCAGTAGTTGATTCACAGCATCTCATTGTGATTTACAGAGGTCTTAAACATAAGCACTTAAAATATTGACACTTTCCATAAACTTGATGTAATTGTCAATAAAATACTAAAATACTTTGCAAATGTTTGTGAATCTATTTCAGTAACTATAGAGACTTATAAAAACTCTGAATCAGCTAGTCTTGTGAAATCCAACATCTGTTAGTCTCTAGACTTTTGGCTCCAGCTGTAGGTTTTATCAAGGCAGACACACGGCTAATTAACTAGCTAAAACCACTATGTCATGCTCCAGCCGTCTGTTATTTGCATATTTGTTTTTAATCTTCCATCATTCTGAACATCTTAACTCACATTTTCCTAAATGACCTCCTGCCATTCTGGTGTTTTTGTTGACTGTTAATGCTAAAGAGAGCATAACTGTATCAGCAAGCTCACTGGTGCTCTGTGTGTGTGTGTGTGTGTGTGTGTGTGTGTGTGTGTGTGTGTGTGTGTGTGTGTGTGTGTGTGTGTGTGTGTGTGTGTGCGTGCGCGCACCATGCAGGTTAGCTTTACATCAACACAGACATACCAGAATCAGTAATGTAACATTAGTTCAGTTTAGGAAGTGTGATAGGCTAGTGTCACCTCCAAATAAACATTTGTGACTCCGTGGTCGGTTCTACAAACTCCTTCAAACTACTTGAGCATTCCACACTGAGTTGCATACACGGCATACATTTCGACCTTTGCTCCTGCTAACCCCTTCATATCAATAGATCTTCACGTCATGTTAAAGTTGCCACAGGAGATAGTTTCAGACAAGCTGAGTCAAGTGAGAGCCCTAACTGTCAGTGAAAAAAAAGTAAAACAACAAACTTTACAATTCTGTGTATTACAGTTTTTCTCAATTGTTTACACACATTTTCTGAGAGCATGCCTCAAATTCTCAGAACTCTACAGACAAATCCACAAAAACACAATGGGCAAAACCCCTCAATTAGCCAAAAATGCTAAATGAAACTTCACATTCAAAACAATGTTATTTCTCCTCATAATGTGATTTTGTTGTCAAATGACACACACAAACCATCATGTGAATAGACATTTATAAGAACCAGCTGAACACGTATGTGCTCTGTGTAAAACACTAAGATGAATGGAAAACACGTCTTCTCCATTCATCATAATGACTTAAGCCTTTTTGGTTCAGTTTGGTTGGTTCACTTACTACAGACAGTATATACATACATGTGCCGTAAAATATTTCACAATATTGTTTTTACACTCTGAACACACAAATACATGGAGTGGTCACTATTGTGAAGCACAATCATTATGACTACAATAATTATATAATTATTATATAATTTACTGTACACAGTGATGGGCATCAATTGTGGGACTCACTTGCACATAGTTATATCGTAATTCTTTGACTCGTTCTGAATTGCGTTCAAATGGCACCCTGTAGACCTGCTTCATCCTGAGATGATATCTGCACAAGACACGGTCCAGTGTTGATAAGCTGACTTAATATGAAACATGTCATTGTTTTCTATTGTTTCTTGGATTTGCCGTAATGTTATGGCATTGTTTTCTAGGACCATGTTCATGATTTCAGTTTCCTGTTCAGGAGACAGAAGACGTTCCCGACCTCCTCGCTTTGGTAATCTTTCAGTTCTGCCAAACAAATAGTAAAATACTCGGAATACAAAGTAGGTATACATTTCCTAAATACTGGAAACATACTTTAAAGTATTTTTACTGTCCAACTAAACATTCCACAGGCAATACTACTACTGTACTCACTGAATATTGATTGTATTGATATGCAGTACTGCCATTTTCTAGTGAGAGAAGATTTCTTACCTATTCTCATTTCGGAAAGTCTGTATGATGGATGCTACAGTGTACCTGCTCAAATTTGTCTGTACTCTTTGCCCAGCCTCCCTCCTTGTAAGACCATGGTTGACCACATGATTAACCAAAGTGGCTCAGACCTCAGAGATTACTGTCATGGTTTGGGGAATGAGTGTAACCCAAGACATGCAGAATCACAACAGAACACCAAATGAGGGAATAATAATATATTTATTTTAAATGGGGGGAAACTGAAGGCGCACTGGGAAGTCCAGTGGGATTGGGAACGGGAGCGCAGCGTCTGTAGAGGGGAGAACAAACACAGGTGAGTCCTGGGAGGTAAGTCTTAACTAGGAAGGTGCTCCCAGACTTACTGGGAGTTGGGGGGGAAACACTGGTGTGAGGGGGGCAGGTTGAGAGCCGGGGTGTATCCAAGTGGCGGAGTCCAGTGAGGCGAGCAGGAGAGCTTGTTGGTCAGGGTGATCGGAGAACGTGTCTGAGCGGAGTCCGGGAATCCTATGGAAAACGAGTGAAGAAACACTGGGGCATAGCAGTATCCTGAGGCGTCAGGAAAAAACCTGAAGGCAGGTAATCACAAAAAATCCACAATCACGAGAGTACAAAAAACACTAGAGTCTCAAAAACCTAGAAGACACGACGAGGGCTGGAAACTACCAAGCTGTAGCAATCATCCGGCTTCGAGCTGTGTTCTCCATCCACCTTATGTAGGAGGCCCGCTAATTGCTGACCAGGTGCAGCTGGAAAACTCCCTCTCCTGCAACACACTCAAAGATAGGTTGTTGAGAGGAGTACTCACCCCGGCTCATGACAATCACAGTCCTTGGTCTTCCTTGTTCTCATCCTCCCCGTCCTCCTCCTCTTACTCTCACTCCTCTGGCTCTGCCTCTGTTTCCAATGTTGGCATCAATTGCTCCAAAACAGAAGAGCTCACCTGTTGCCCTTTTATGCTAAAGCTCTGAATGTTGACTGTAAAACTGTGAGACGGGTGTTTGTCCTTGTGATGAGTCAGTGTGCACATTTGAAAAGCAGTGTGTTCCTTGTGAAAACAAGATATTTTCTGCATGAAAATTGTGCCAACAGCAGAGAAGTGTGTGTAGTGTTTTGAAAAAAGTGTGTTTTAGATTTGCAATTTGAGTGCAAAGCAGGAATTGTGCTTGTAGTTTAGCAGAATTGGTTAAGGGGATTGGTGAATTGGTTACATGTTGTAGTCATTGTGTCTCAAGTACCAGAAAATGTGTGTATACAATTGAGAAAAACTGTAATAAGAACACAAAAATAATGGATATAAAGCAACACAGAAAGAACGTAACAAAAATGGCTTCCTCTAATGTTTGAAGCATGAGACAAGCATAAAATGGACAGATGATGCACACGACTGATGGGATTTAATTTTTTAGACACATTAGTTTGCTGCTCCTGCTCTTTGAATTGTCTGGGGTGCCATGGAGCAGTGCAGACAATTAGCCTGCCTCTAGTGTGTGTTAGTAGATCAGAGTGCCAGTCTTTGTATGTGCTGGAGTGTGCTCAGGGCTGATTTGATGTGCATCTTATTGATGCACCTGACATTTCCGTAAGTGTACCACAGTTGGAAATGCTGAATTAATTATCAAAATTATATTATAAATATAAAATGAAAACCAAAAACATGGACAACATGTGACTGCGTGGGTGATACATACTTATCTCAGCTTGATTGTCCCCTTCAAACATTTTTAGACAGCAACACATATTTGTTGAATGACATCAATATAGGGAAGCACAAGAGGTGGCATTACATGACACCTTTGCCGTGTGGCGGGAAGATCTGAGAGCTGAAAACAACTATTCCCCAGAACAAAAACAAATAATTAAAATGTAAAAAAGATTTTAAAAATGATTAAAACATTGTTTAAAATGAGAAAAATGATTGTAATTAAAAAATGTAAGGAAAGGGAGAGAGAAAATGAATAGGAAAGAGGAAAATCAGAGGATCCCGGGAAAGGCAGCAAAGAGCAGAATAAGGAGAGGGAGGTGACGAAGGTCATGCTAAGCCAGCTTGAACAGGTGAGTTTTCAGCTGCTTTTTAAAGAGACCACTGAGTCCAGTGATCTCAGGCTCAGGGGGAGAAATTTCCAGAGTCTGGGGGCCACAGCAGCAAATGATCTGACCTTTGGCCTTTAGCCTGGTTCGCCGCACAACCAGTAGGCCGTGGTCACTGGACCTCAGGGACCTGCTGACATCACCACAGGATCTCCTCTCCCCTAGCGTAGCTGCTACTTACCACAAGGCCAGATTTATGGTGGTTCTTTCCTCCTGTGGGAAGGATTTGAAGTTTCCTGAACTTATAGCCATTTTCTGTTTTCTCCGTGTCTGGTTTGATGACGTCACTTTCGCGAAGCGCATTTGTAGTCCTGGACTTATTTTCACACAAAACCTAAAATAACGTCCCCCTCGTTCGAAAATAAGCGAGTTCTTAGTATCAAAAGGCTTCTTTAAAATTCACGGACATCATTTGTAAAATCCATGGAACATAACAAGCGGAATTAGAAAATAGCGTTTTAGCCCCATTGCCTTGCATTCGTTTTTTTTTTGTTCATCCGGAGACCCGTGGTCCAAAAGTAGATGGGCGTAACTTAGGCTCCCTACGCTTTGAACCACTTTGAAGCAGGAATCAAAGAAGGGGTGGATTCCACAACTCCCATAGTGGAAAAGCCTTGTGAGAGGAAGTAGAGGCCAGGGTCTTTCACATTTCACCCATCAAACATCCCGCCCTGCCAACACTCAACTCCACCAATCCCACTCTGATCAGCACGTGTGACCACGCTCACCAAACATCCAGTCCGGGCCATTTCCAATCCCTGGTAATTGGGCCTTGGTTGCCGTAGTAACCTTAGTTTAAAAAGATCTGACGTACAGTGAAATATGTCACATATGAAGCATTGGATGTGTGTTACCATGGAGACAATATTACAGCAGTGATGTGGAGAGCCTTCACCTGCCAGTGGAGGAGAGGAACATAAATGAAACACCTTCTTAATAAATAAACCAAAGGAAGTCCATATCAGAGGGTTGTTGATGACTTCTAATGAACTTGTATGTGAGGACAAAATATTAAACATTACTGAAATTCAGTTACGGCTACTGGTTTCATTGGTCGAACTGCATGAACTACATTTTTCCCAAAATGAAAGTATCTGCAACCCAACAACTGATAATTATATTTATTATATATAACTTTTATACAGAAACACTTGACACTGAGAAGATCGGGCTGAACGCGTATCAAAATTTGATTTAGAAAGCTTTAATGTTGATGTGCAAACATAGAGCAAGCTGTGGGCACAATGAAATTGCAAATGCTCCTTCAAGGTGATGCTCCTAATATTCATAAGATGAGTAAAAGGGAAAAAGATTATTATTTAAATAAAGTAAGAAAGCACACAAGTACAATACAAAACCCAACTGCAGGTTTACGTACAAAACATGGCATAATAAATAATAATAATATAAATGACCTATAGGTTATTGTGTAATGGATTCACACGTTGGGCTGTCCTGGATGATTTCAGGACTTCAGTGATTTAACATTTGACCACTGTGGATTTTGCGGTTTTTTTA